AATCTTATTTTTGAAATAGAATTTTTCACAGGAATTAAGACATTCAAAAATTCAAAATTCAAACCTTTTTTAAATTAAACAACTTATAAAAATATTGTTATAAAACATGAAGATATTGATTGCTCCGAGTCGACGACTCGGAGTCATCGATTTCTTCATGTTTTCTAATAAATTAAAGATGACCGAGAGATAAAATTATTATTTTATATTATTATGAATATTGTTACTGCAATTTGTTCAAAATTATTTTCATCATTTTAAGTCAATTATTATTTTCTAGAATTTTAAATTATTTTTTATTAAAATAATAATTGAATTCCTTAGAAAAATTTTATTATTTATGAAAATAATTGAATTCCTGCGTGAAATTTTTATTGTTAATGAAAATAATTATATGTTTGTATACAATTTTATTAAAAAAATTTTTAAATAATTGAATTTATTCTTTTTGGGAAATTTTATTAAAATAGTAGATATTGAAAATCATTGAAATTAGAAAAATGCATTTTATTTTTGAAAATAATTGAAGTTAGGACAAGAATTTTTTTTTTGACATTTATGAAAATAATTGAACTTTGGAGAAGAATTTTGTTATTTTTAAAGATAATTAGGATTTTTACGAGAATTTTTTTCAAATTTTAAACATAGTGGAATTTTGTAAGAAGAATTTACAATTTTTTTTTTTTTTTTGAGAATAATTGAATTTCTGCAATTATTTGTAATTTCTCGAAAATTGAATTTTTTTAGTGTTTTCAACAGAAATTTAGATAAATAAGGTAATTTCTATATTCTATTAAATAATTCGTAATTAAATGTGATAGAACATTTTTTTGAGTATCTAATTATTTTTAAAATGAATCAGAATATTCTTTAGGGTCAGGGAAAAAGTCCAAATTTTGTTTGGAAATCAGGGAAAAAGAAAATTAAATTTTTCTGGCATCCCTGTATAAGTTTATGATATAGTTCTGTAATAATTACATTATTGAATATAAACTCAATTAATTATCAATATTGTTAAGTTCAATTATTGTTAAAAATTAGAAAGAATATAATGTTAAATTGAACATTTACTTTTTTTTTAAGGTTGTTGGACAAGAGAATTCAGAGTTTTATTATGAATTCTAGAAATTGAATATTTTTTCTGAATGAATGAATATTTTTTCAGTACTTTTGATTTTTGAATGATAAAATTCCTTGCATTGTTAACGTAAAATTATTAAATTGCAACGAATTATTATCGAATACGAAGTCTGCGCTAAAATAAAAATCGTTTTCATTCTTTTAGTCGCTTTATTTCTCCTACTTTGAGAAATAGAAGCAGGCATTTTTCTCTTATTCTTAAGAGACCACGTTTACTGTGGATTAAAAAAGAGAAAAAAAGGGGTTTTTTGAGTGTGTAATTTGATGAAAAGCTTTTATGCTTTAGATATTGACACGTGTGTCACTTGAGACATTGTGTGGTAAATTCAGACGATAAGTGTGTGGCGAGGGAGGTCCGTGATATTTTAACTCCGCCACCCACGAACCCTCGACGACGAGAGTCAACGGAATGAGAGCTTTGGATGAGAAGGTGAAAGTGCATTTTAGGGCGAAACCAAACGAGGCAGGAGCAGGAGGCTAATAGCACCGTGAAAATGTACACGACGAGGGTGAATAATGTGAATATCCCACATACATAACTTTTCAAGTATCATAAATATACGAGCAGCGGCAATCACTCCACATAGTTAACGACGTGTACAGGAGAGCGGTCTATTCATTTTTATCTCTTCATCCCTTGTTATCCCCGACGATATTATATTTACAGGGGGGTAGAAGATGGGAACTTTTTGATTTATATATACACATCCGAGTTAAGTATTATCGACTAAACAAGTTATGTCCCTTCAGCTAAGGACAATTTTGTTAATGCGGCCAATTTATTAACGGTATTTAATCTCTCAGTGGATTTAGACTTTTCTTCGAAATTCAATTTCGCTTTAATTTGTACGTTCATTTTGTCGATGTAATTAATCAAAAATGTCACACTGTTTTTTTTTTTTTTTTGAAAGTATCAAAAATTGATACCAAAAATTTGCAGTGTTGTCACGCAACCCGAAAACCTGGAAAAGTCAGGGAATTTTGATCGAAATCCTGGAAAAATTGTTATTTTCTAAAGTTTATTCTTGAAATCTAATTTTACATAAATATATTTCAAAATTAATTAAATTTTCAAAATGTTGCGTTTACAATTTTCATATAAGTACAGATGAATTTCAAAAGATTTTAATTTGAAATTTTGTAAAATTTCAATTTTGAGTGAATTTAATTAGAAATTGTCTTAAAGAACGTAGATTTTTGAAAAATTTTAATTATTCCAATTCTTCTGAAATTTTCAAAAATTTTAATAAAATTCATGTCAAAATTTCAATTATTTTCAAAAACATTCCTCAATTCAATGATTTTTAATAAATCTACTACTTTAATAAAATTTTCCAAAACAATTCAACTATTTAAAAACAGTTTTAATAAAATTCTGCGCAAACATTTAATTATTTTCATAAATAATAAAACTCATCGCAGACTTTTAATTATTTTTAATACAATTTTAATGGAATTTTTCGAAAAATGAAATTATTCTTAAAAATTTTATTAAAAATCCTCAAAGAAATTCAATTATTTTAAAAACTTTTGCTACAATTTATTTATTAGAATTTAAGTTTTATTTTCTATAAAGTTTTAATTAAATTTCTTCAAAAAATTAAATTTCTTTCAAAAATTTTAATGAACTTCTTTATAACAATTCAATTTTTTTTTAAAAATAATTATAATAAAATGCTTCGTAGAATTTTTACCTAATAATTTTAAAAATTTGTCAAATTAAATCATTTTCAATGTCTACTATTTCAATAAAATTTCATAAAAGAATTTAATTATTTAAATAAACATTTTAATAAAATTCGTCTCAAGAATTCAATTATATTCAAAAATAATATATAATTCTTCGGAGAAATTTAATTGTGTTCAACAATATTTACAAAAAATCTCGTCAAAATTTCAATAATCTTTATAAATTTTTCTCCAGAATTAAATTATTTTTAAAAATTTTAATAAAATTCTTGGCAAAATTTCAATTATTTTCAAAAACTCTTATAAAATTCTTTGGAAAAATTCCATTGTTATTATTATTATTATTATTTATCAAGAGAATTAAATTAGTAAAAAATTTTTTGATAAACTTCTTTATGAAAATACAATTTCAAGAAATATTCAATTATTTAATAAAATATTTATTTTTGTATTTAAATAATTGAATTCTCGTGAATTTTTCTAGTAAATATTGAATTAAAAATAAATTTCAGTTAAAATTTTAGATTATTATTGAATATTGAAAGCAATATAACGTACATTTTAATTAATTTTAATTAACAATTGTGTAGAATTAATTTTTTTTAAAAAAGTTTAATTGAATTTTTCTTTAATTCTTCAAGATTTTATTTTTTATTATTATACATTTAATTATTGAAAAATGTCAGAATAATCGAAATTATGTAAAAAGTAATATTGAAAATAATTGAATTTTTACGAAGAATTTTATAATTTTGAAAATAATTGAATTTTTACGAAGAATTTTATAATTTTGAAAATAATTGAATAATTGAATTATTTCGAAGAATTTCGATCAAAATTTTCGAGAATAATTGAATTCCTGCGAATAATTTTATTATCTATAAAAATAATTAAATTCTTGACAAGATTTTTAAAGAAATTTAGAATTAATTTTTCTCAAAAAATTTAATGGAATTTTTTTTTTTTTTTATTTGAAGTTTTTAATTTTTAATTTATTTAATTGAAGTATATCAGAATAATCGAAATTTTAGGTAAAATTTAATTGTAAACAAATGGATTTAAAAATTCGTTTAAAATTCTGCGCAAACATTTATAATTACTTTCATAAGTAGTAAAACTCATTGCAGAATTTCAATTATTTGTAATACAATTTTAATCGAATTCATCGAAAAATGTTATTATTCTTAAAAATTTTGTTAAAATTCATCGAAAGAATTCAATTATTTCTAGAAACTGTAAAAAAAAATTTTTCTCAAGAATTCAATTATTTCCATAAACAGCAAAATTCTTCAGATTTACTAAATTCTTTTGAATATTATTTAAAAAAAAAAATTCTTCACAAGAATTCAATTATTTTCATAAATTTCCATAAAATTCTAAACAACAATTTAATTATTTTCAAAAGTAATAAAATTCTTCGCATAAAATCAATTATGTTTAAAATTTTTTTAAAATTCTCCTCAAAATTTCAATTATCTTTATAAATAAATAAATTGTTCTCCACAATTCAATTATTTTCAAAAATACTAATAAAATTTTATGTAAACATTTAATTATTTTCATAAATAATAATTTTTTTATTCCAAGCATTAGCGAATTTGAATTAAAATTTAAAATTCTCAAAAATAGAAAAAAGTGTAGCTTCTATTGTCACAATTCTAAAAAAAATTGTCGAAAATCGTGAAAAAAGTAGTAAATAATAGGTTTTAATAGATGAGTACGAAGCCTGCTTTAGGAAATAAATGAATTCCGTTGATAAAAATAAAAAATTCGCAGTGATAAATTCGCTTTGTTGGGTTATAAAAGAATCTGAATGAAAATTTATAATTGATAGCGATAATTTGACTGACAACAAAGCTTTCCTTTATTCGAGCGCGAAATGTGATTGAAATTAATTGAATCTTCTGTCTCTGAACGGCGCAAACGTTGACAATTGTAATTAATTTAACACTGGAATTTCATCTGTTGGCGTAAAATGCCAATTTGCGAAATAATTCGCAGCTTATACGAGTTTTATTTCATTTTCTCGACGCTAGAGGAGAAAATTAAAATTCGACAACTAATTTAATTGAAAAATTTAGATTTTAGACTAAACATAAACTAATCTTTACCTTTAAAGATATTTTATATCGAATGATTTACTGATTATTGAATTTTTGTTTTTTTTGCAGAAAATTACACTAAGGCGAGTCATCATTTGGTGGAGGCTGCAAAAAATCTACAATCACCGGACAACATCTCAGTGATTGTTGTTTTCCTGACACATCCAACGGATATAGAAGCAAAGTTAAAACATAATCGGTCGTCCCTTGCGTTGAGAATGGATTCCGATTCTCCGCAGGACGTCCAACATCCGACAAATTTCAATCCAATGGATACTGGTTCTTATCCATTTGAAATGAATTTTGGATCACGCGATGAGGAAGCAATTCACGCCGTCGATATGGGATGTTGTCCATTTGAAATGAATTTCACAAAACAACAAGTGCAACAGCAGAATCAAACAAATGGATCCCTAAGACTCGATACGGAGAATTTTATTTACGATAAGTCAACAAATGGAAAACACGAGAATGGTTCAGCTAATTTTGATGATGATGACGACGACGACGACGATGATGAGGATGATGATGAGGATGTGGATTTAGGTCCAGAAACCGATGTCGATGCTGTCGATGACGCGAGTGCTCCGTTTGAGAAAATTTCACGTCAACTTTTCCCTGAAAAGTCAACTACCGAGAATGATGATGATGATGATAATGATAATGTGAAAATGGAGATTCTTGATGATTCGCAGAATTCCACCGACTCGAGTGAGTAATTTTTTTATTTCTTGGGATAATATGACAATTTATACAATTAATGATACAATGATTAATTAATGAATCAGGGTTGCCATAGGTCAGGGAAATCAGAGAAAAGGAAATTAGGGAAATGTCAGGGATTTTTATTAAAGTACTGAAAAAAATTTAATTTTCAAGAAGTTAGAAATGATTGCAGAAATTCAATTATTTTCAAAAACTCTAATAAAATTCTTCTAAGAAATTCAATTATTTTCAAATGCTTTAATAAAATTCTTATCAAAATTTCAATTATTTTCAAAAATGTTCCTTAATTCAATGATTTTTAATATCTAATATTTTAATAATATTTTCCAAAAGAATTCAATTATTTAGAACACATTTTGCTAAAATTCTACGCAAAACATTTAATTATTTTCATAAAAAATAATTCCACAGGAATTCAATTATTTACAAATTTTTTAAAAATTTCTTCGCAATAATTTCATTATTTTAGTAAATAAAAAAACTAACAAGAGATTTTAAATTATTTTTAATACAATTTTAATCGACATTCTTGAAAAATGTAATTATTCTTAACAATTTTACTGAATAATTCCTCGAAAGAATGCAATTATTTTAAAAAAATTTCTCGAAATTCAATTATTTTCAGTTATTTTAATAAAAATTTCCAACAGAATTTTGGAGAAGTTAGAAATAATTGCAGAAATTCAATTATTTTAATAAAAATTCCCAAAAAAATTAAATTATCAAAAAAATTTTTTTTTTAAATATTTCGCATGAATTCAATTATTTTCAGAGATAATAAAAAATGTTTCGGGAAGTCAATTATTTAAAGAAAATTTAATAAAATTCTTTCTTAAGAATTAAATTATTTTTATAGTAATAATGAAACTCATCGTAGAATTTCAATTATTTTTAAAAAGATTTTAAATAAATTTATCCAAAAACGCTATTATTTTTAAAAACTTTATTTAAATTCTATGATTTTCACACAAACAATACAAATTTTCTTTGGAATTTAATTATTAAAAAATTTGTAATAAAATTCTTTGTGAGAATTCAATTAATTTCTTAAATATTAAAATTCTTGTTACATATTCAATTATTTTCAAAAGTAATAAAATTCTTCGCGAAAATTCAATTATTTAAAAAAAATTTTTTTAATTCTCGTCCAAATTTCAATGATTTTTAAAATTAATAGAATTCTTGTCCAAAATTCAATTACTTTCAAAAATTTTAATAAAATTCCTGGCAAATTTTCAATTATTTTCAAAAGTTTTCCTCAACTTAATGATTTTCAATATCTACAATTTTAATAAAATTTTTCAAAAGAATTCAATTATTTAAAACAAATTTTGATAAAATTCTAAGCAAACATTAAATTATTTTTGTAAATAATAAAAATTTCACTGGAATTCAATTAATTACAACTTTTTTAAAAATTTCCTCCCAATAATTCCATTATTTTCTAAAAATAATAATCATTTTTTTTACATGGATTCAATTATTTTCATAAGTTATAAAACTCATCGCAGAATATCAATTATTTTTAATACAATTTTAATTGAATTCTTTAAAAAATGTAATTATTCTATAAAATTATTAAAATTCATCAAAAAAATTCAATAATTTAAAAGTTTGTTGATGAAGTTCTTTATGAAAATTCAATTTTAAGAAACATTTAATTTTGTTGTATTTAAATAATTTATATTCTCGTAGAATTGTCTAATAAAAAAATTAATTTAAAAATTAATTTCAGTTAAAACTTTAGATAATAATTGAATGTTAACCCTTTAAAGCCCGAATTATTTCCACCGATTCGATTTCAACCACACTTGGTATATAATGGTTTTTGGGGTCGCTGATTACGAATCTGAAGTCAAAATTGCAAAATTCAAAATGGCGGATCCAATATGGCGGACGAAAAAATAAAAAATAATGGGATTTATATGAAACTTGTCACTCGGGGGTTTTTGGGGTCGCTGATTACGAATATGAAGTCGAAATTGCAAAATTTAAAATGGCGGATCCAATATGGCGGACAAAAAAATAAAAAATAATGGGATTTATATGAAACTTGTCACTCGGGGGTTTTTTGGGTCGCTGATTGCGAATATGAAGTCAAAATTGCAAAATTCAAAATGGCGGATCCAAAATGGCGGACAAGAATTAAAAATTAAATAGGATTTACTTGAATATTGTTACCAGCTGACTATCATTTATTCTTTTTCATTCAAGTCATGCGCTTCAGGGTTGTCAATTGTTTTTATTGATTGGCCAGCTGATTATCATTTGTTCTTTTTCGTTCGAGTCAAGCGTTCCAGGTTTCCTTTCACAAATGGATTAAATTTCTTACATTTATTAAACATAATTCGCCCTATTAAATCCACCATTATGATTCTTAACATTTTAACCTCAGAAACCCCAAAAACCCAAAGCATCAAATTTAATGTAAATCCCATTAATTTGTTATTTTTTTGTTTTTCATATTGTATCCGCCATTTTGAATTTTGCAATTTTGACTTCATATTCGTAATCAGCGACCCCAAAAACCCCCGAGTGACAAGTTTCATATATCTCCCATTATTTTTTATTTTTTTTGTCCTCCATATTGGATCCGCCATTTTGAATTTTGCAATTTTAACTTCATATTCGTAATCAGCGACCCCGAAAACCCCCGAGTGACAAGTTTCATATAAATCCCATTAATTTTTATTTTTTCGTCCGCCATATTGGATCCGCCATTTTGAATTTTGCAATTTTAACTTCATATTCGTAATCAGCGACCCCATAAACCCCCAAGTGACAAGTTTCATATAAATCCCATTAATTTTTATTTTTTCGTCCGCCATATTGGATCCGCCATTTTGAATTTTGCAATTTTAACTTCATATTCGTAATCAGCGACCCCAAAAACCCCCGAGTAACAAGTTTTAAACGAATCTGATTAATTTTTTTAAATTTTTTCGTCCGTCATAGGAGAAAATGTATCTTGACACTTTTTTTATTTATTATTATTTTAATTATTTATTATTATTTTTTTACTTTTGTTTTTTTTAATTATCTGCTGGAAGAGTTTTACTAGAGCTAAGAATTTAAAATTTTTAGTAATATGTATTAGTTTCAAAGTTATGATGACTTTAATGCATTTGTGGTACAGCGTATGTACCACTGGGCGTTAAAGGGTTAAAAGCATTACCGACAACTTGAATTTTTTAGAAATAATTGAATTTTGAAAAGGTTTTAAATTCAAATCTTTGAAAATTAAACTTTTTTATATGTACTATTAACTAACAATTCTGTAGAATTAATTTCTTTGAAAAAGTTTAATTGAATTTTTTAAAAAAATTATTTCAAGTTTTTATTTTCCAAATATTTAATTGAAGGATTTCCGAATAATCGAAATTTCGTACAATTGAATTATAAACAAATGGACTTTTAATTTTTAGGAAAAATAATTGAATTCTAGCAACGAATTTTATTACATTTTTTTTTAATAATTGAAATCCTGAGAAGAATTTTATTATTTATGAATAATTGAATTTTTGTAACGGATTTTTATTTATTTTTTTAAATAATTGAAATCCTGTGAAGAATTTTATTATTTATGAAAATAATTGAATTCTTGCAATGAGTTTTTATTTCATTTTTTTTAAATAAATGAAATTCTGTGAAGAATTTTATTATTTATGAAAATAATTAAATTCTTACAACGAATTTTTTTTTAATTTTGTTCAAATAATTGAATTCTTTTAAAAAATTTGATTAAACTAGCAGATTTTGAAAATATTTGAATTTCGGCAAAGAATTTCATTATTTGTGAAATTTAATTGAATTCTTGCAAAAAATTTTCGAAAATAATTACATTTTTCGTGGAATTCATTTAAAATTGTATTAAAAATAATTGAAATCCTGTAACAAATTTTATTATTTATGAAAATTACAAATTCTCGCGAAGGATTTTATTAAAATTTTTTGTAATTTAATTTTTTTTTGAAAAATTTTATGGAAATGTAAATTATTAGAAAACAAGAAGACATCGATCATTCCGAGTCGAAGACTCGGAGTGATTGATATCTTCATGTTTTCTAATAATATTCTTAAAAGTTATTGAATTTTAAAAGATTTAAATTTGAATTTTTTGAAAATCTTAATTCCTATAGAAAAATAATAATGATTAAATAATTAGTTAAAAAAGAATTTATTCATGTTTTCGATTAATTTAATAATTCAACAATTAAAAAAATTCAAACATTAATGTATAAAAATATTTTTTTGTGTATCTAATAATTTTTCGAGTGAATCAGAATATTCTTTAGGGTGAGGGAAAAAGTGAAAATTTTGTCTCGGGAAATCAGGGGAAAAGAGAATTTTTTGTGGCAACCCTGATGATGAACATTAATTAATGTTGCATCATTATGATGGAAATTGACTATTATTTTTAATTTTTAATTCTTGATGTGTGAAAAGAGCCTTAAAGAGCCTTTTCGTGTACGGATGAGTGTGCTAAAGTAAAATCTAAATCCGCTCCTGTATAAGCACCGGAATAACTTTCCTCGTTCCCTCTGAACTGGTGCGTGCACGAGTGTATGTCTCCAACAACTGTATAGTATATTTTAGTCTCTTTGGTAGTGAGGGCAAACGCGGGCAAACGTCAGGTATATACAGAGAATCAGAGATTCCAATTAGGGGCGAGAAAAACTGTGCTTTCACTCCACTCTCCAATCAAGCTCTCTTCATTAAATTCTGCGGTACACCGTTTCCCTTCAATTCAAATTATTTCCACACACCCTCTATTCTATCTTGTAGCAACTCTTCAATTTTTTTCCCCTTTTTAAGCACTAGTAATTAATTTCAAACAAAAAAAATCAAAATCCTTTTATCCATTTCTATTAATAAGTTACGTTTCTTCTTCTTAAATGATTTTTGTCCAAGATTTAGTTTAATTTAATTTAATTTTATTAAAATAAATCCAATAGTGACAACAAACAATTCTTATTACTTGCAGT